CTTGTCTTACAATATTCTTTGACTGACATTTTGACATGCTGACCAGTTCCTATGCTATCTTTTTAAGAGTGAATACATCTTGGTTGATCCAAAACATTTTTAGTACCTAGAAACTTTGAGAGGATTTCTGAAATGCTGCTTCCAGGTTTCTTTGAAAATTTTCATCATGATTTCAAACAATGAAAACATTCAGGAATTCAATGTAAGAATTTTTAATATATATAGGGGAAATATCAATGCTGCTACAGAAAAATATTTGCATATTAATGATGGAACAAAGGTTAAGTGAAATAATGGTCAAGTGGTATTATGGAAGTTAAACGGTTGTAGTGCTTGTGTCTATTTTATGGTGGTGAGCATGTTCACTTATACAAAAACTTGGGTTTCTACTGCAGGCTTTTTCATTTATGGTGGCTGTAGTGAAAACAAAAATCTCAATGTCTCTTGGTTATGTTTGCTTTCTTTTTTTGTTCAAAAGTAAGGATAACAATGGTTAAAATGGTCAAGCTCAAGTCAACTGTGTACTGAGTTGGAACAACCTAATTACTTACTTCATGAGTAAGGCTGCAGGCACATCTGAACAATGTCATTGGACAATGGAAAGAGAAAGCTTCTGTTGTCAGTGAACCAAAAAAACTAACATTCCTCAGCAGGAACATAATTACCATGTGGTACTACATCTTGGAGCAATGGGAGAAAAGAGAGGCAGGAAAATGATTCCCTTTTTATAGACTTCAACAGGTGGAGTAATCATATTTCTGGTTCCTTTACATGAAGCATCATGGTATTTCTATTTCCTTCTTTATTATTCATCATTATTATTTTTTTTATCAGTTTTGTTTTCTCACAGTATCATTAATATGAAAATATTTTCTGTCATAGCTTGGAAAAAAATTGATCTTGAGTAAAAAATCAGCATTCTCTACCAACTCTTCCAGAAATAAGATTCAAGATATGTCTTTCTAAAACCAAAACTATGATCTGCAATTGGAATGAAAGTAGTGATGACACATATCCTGAATTCATCATAAAAATTCAGGATGTATTGATAAACACTCAACATTTCAAATATCTCAGTGTACAAGTCAGTTTTAACAAATTTAGTGTTGTATCCTTAAAGAAGGTTACAAACAAAGGTGGTACTTGAGTGAAAGGAACAGCCACATGGGTGTAAAGAAAGAGAGGTTTATTGTAAAAGAGAATATTTTGCTGAAAAACAAGGAATTGGTTAGCAAGCTTGTAATTCCTGAAGCAAGGTTATTTACCTTACCTCCCTGCAAGGCAGGATGTGGCAGAAGGCCACTTTTTAATGTAAGGCAAAACCAAGCCCGTAGGCTCAGACAAAAATTCCCTGGTAGTTGTCTATCACCCCAGATGAGGCTCTGCCCTTCGGCATAGCCTCATCTAGTTTTCTCTCTGTCCGTAGGCAGAGAGTTTGACCACAGCTGGAGACAAATCTCCAACTAATTACCGAAGCAAGTCTACAAGGTATATCTTGTGCTTACTATATATATCTACCAATATAGTCAGTTACTCATCTTAACTGTCATTACTCACAGAATCAATGAAGCACTAGATATATCAAAGGCTTTTGACAAGGTGTGTCAATGGGGGTTTCTACATAAACTTTCCAGCTATGGAATCTCTGGAAGGATTCTGTCAATTATCAAGTCCTTCCTAACTGGAAGTCCTTTCTGAAGGCCATTCAGCCAGTCATCAGAAGCCCATGAAATCAGAGGCTTGTTTCTCAGTTCTATTCTCTTTTTTCTTTATATTAATGATCTGCCTAAGAAAAATACTCCAATCATTAATGAATATCTATGTGGGTGATGCAACATTTTATAGGTGCACTGCCAAAACACTAAATGACCAGGACCTAGCAGCTCATCTTTCCTTTGATCATGCCCAGGTGGCTTAATGGAGTAAGGACTGGCTTATAAAATTCAATATGACCAAAACCAAACTAGTAATATTCCAGTATCACAAAACAAACTGAACTTTCATGGTTTATTGGGGCTCAAACTCACCTCAGACAAGTACACCCTTGTGCAAATTAATTGTACAGGAAGATATGGAGGGCCATTATCACCTACACCCTTGTGCAAATTAATTGAAACAAAATTTTTTTGTATTTTTACAATGAAACATGACCCACTATTTCATATGTCCATTCCACAAAGTCGTTCCTTGTAGATTGACAACAGATTATCAATTGGATTTAAATCATGAGAGTTTCCAAGCCAGTCTATAGTAGTTTGATTTGCTCACTGGTAAAGCTTGCCAGTATGTTCGTGCAACATTACAATTTTCGTACACTTCCTTGGAATAACGTCCATCATAGACAATGGCAATAGGACAACTAATCAACAGTTGAGACAATGGTGTTTGGGTGTAAAAATCTGATGCAATCACAGATGACATATTTTTCAAGGCCAAACAAATTTCATCATGCACCCCAAAAATAGATTCATATTACTGCACACACTGCAAATGACCTCTGAGGAAAAAATAGAAATCGATTACACCTTGTTACTCCAACAGGTCTAAAACTGACTGTATGGTGAAAGAAAGGAAACTAAAGTGGTTGTTTCAATTAATTTGTACAAGAGTGTAGAACTCATATATATGATTTATTGCTAAATATGCTGAAAAAATTTTGATTTATTGTACTACTCCAGTAAGTATATGGCTCTCCATGGTATAAACTATCTTTACAAGAGCCAAATCAAATGAAAAACAGAGTAATTCTGCCATATCTGGGCTTGAGCTTCATGACTTGATTATTTTCCACCATACAATCCCTTCACCACAAATGTAACATCACAAGCTTCTCACTACTCTATTGCCATTTCCATAGCAAGTATTCTGACAAGTTATATTCCTTGGTTCCATCAGCCTTGATATTTAGAGCTGAGATCCACCATGCCACATACACAGGGATGAATTATCCTCATGCACTTCATATTCTATTAATAAAAAGTAAGTTCTACTCAGACAGTTTCTTCACAATGACAGGGAAATTGCCTCTTCCTTACTCCTATGGCGTCTGTCTGGAAGTGTCTTCTCATGAAAATTGACTTTCCTAGACACCATAGCTTGGGACTTAGGGTTGAACATTGGTGATCTGGGGACAGCAATACAGGACTGAACAGTCTGTAAAGGGATTGTCAATGGAGTTAAGACCAACTGTAGAGAGATCAAAAGGAAGATGATGAAAACAGTCTGCCAAGAGGATGTTTCCCTGTTCCTTACAATATTTTCAAGTCTAGTGTTAAATGTTATCTTTCCTACATAAGCTTCAATTTTTTTCTTTTTTGCACTAATACAACACCACACAGTAGCCCTTTACATTGAGTGGCTCTTGGGGCTTGTATTGGGTGAATATTAGTATACGAAAAGGGCTAATAATATTATCAATGAGTAGATACTATACTCGGATCCCAGCCAGGGAGTGAAGAAATGCATGACTGGCGATGAGGAGAACAGATACTACATTTGATTCCAGCCTGATGAACAGGGACTGAAGAAAAGCATAACTTGAGTCGTACTGGCTAGTCAGTCAATGAATGCTGAACATTTCCTTATAAGGGAATAGTTTCTATTACCCTTACCATTTTTGTAACAACACCAAAACAATGAAAACTTAAAAGATCAAATGACTGAAGACTTTTGTGTGGTAATATTTTGGGTTTATTTCAAATTGTCTCCTCTCACTCAGAACCCAATCTATAAGATATGATAATTAGGTTTGAGACTGACCCTGTTCTCCTCTGTTATGTAGAGAAAATGCTATTTGAAACATCCTCTTATAAATGCACAATTATTAGAAATTTAAGATCAGTTAAAATGGCTGAAATACTTTTGTACAGTACTAGATATATACTAATAATTTCATATAAATGAGTCATCATTTCTTTTAGAAGGGACAGATTTGATCATTTTTTGTTATAAAGGCTGAATTTTAGCTAGGAGAATAAACTAGAAGAATTGTAGGTTATTACCTAAGAACATAAAGAAGTGATAAAAAATAGTTATCTGCTAAGTAAGTATATAATAATCTTAATGAGACACACTTTCTGATTCCTTCTTTACAATTTCAGTTGCAAAACAAATTATTACAACAAAACAGGAAACCGTCAAACTTTAGAGAAACTAGATCCTATTTGGATTTGATGCCCATAGTTTATGTTGCCAAACTAATACCAATTCTCTTATCTTTTCTTTTAAATCATTTCACCCCAAGCAAGGTAGGAATGCCACTAATATGCAGAGGGTTAGAGAGAGTGAAAGTGAGAGAAAAGATTGGGTATAGGGTAGATTGAAGAAAGGATAAAAGATAAACAGGATTTAAGAACAGAAGATAGTGACTGACATTGCATTTAAATCTTTGAAGATTGTAGTCATCAGGGAGACAAGTAAATGGAAGGGAGTTCCACAGGTAACAACTGTGAGAAAGGAAACTGTTAGAGTAGAAGTGGCAGTCACATTTAACTATTTCAATAGTAAAATGGTGAGATCTAGATGCCAATCTAGTAGCATTCTTAAATTCATGTAGTCAGAGCATCAGGAAAAAAAGCTTGTCAGAGCAGTTGTCTGAAAATATTTGTAGAAAAACAGAGTCTTAGAGGTTTTATTTCCTTTCTTAGTGTGAAATGATTCCTAATTCCTGTTCTTTTATTGTTCTCTCTTTCTCCTTAATAGTGATTTTTTTCTCACATTCTCCAATACTCAGTATCTCCTTGCATCTTAGTGGCTTTATTACCTTTCTTAGAGTGAAATGATTTCTAATTCCTGTTCTTTTATTGTTCTCTCTTTCTCCTTAATAGTGATTTTTTTCTCACATTCTCCAATACTCAGTATCTCCTTGCATCTTAGTGGCTTTATTACCTTTCTTAGAGTGAAATGATTTCTAATTCCTGTTCTTTTATTGTTCTCTCTTTCTCCTTAATAGTGATTTTTTTCTCACATTCTCCAATACTCAGTATCTCCTTGCATCTTAGTGACTTTATTGCTTTGTTTGGGGTTAAATGATAAAAAACAATTTCTTTTTTTTATTCTTATCATTTTTTTCTTCCTAATTTATTTTCTTTTTCTAATTTTCCCCTTTTTTACCATTTCTTTTTCTTTCTTTCTTTTTCTTTCTCTGCTACTTTTCTTTCTTCCCCATTTTTTTCTTTTTCCTATTTCTTTTTTTCTGCCATTTTTTTTGTGTTTTTTCTCTGTCAATTCTTTTTTTATGATCCCTACCAAGTTTTTTCTTTGTCCTCTATTTCTTTCTTTTCTTTCTTTTCTTTACTTTTCTTTCTGTCATTTTGTTTCATTCTATGCCATTATGTTTTTCAATCTCAGCCAATTCTTATTTTTTTTGTTAGTCCTTTTTTTTTCTTTCTCCTCCATTTATTTTTTCTTCCTCATTTCTTTACTTTGCCATTTCTTCTTTTCACTCTCTGCCAATTCTTTATTTTTCTCTGCCAATTCTTGTTTCTTTCTATGTCATTTTTTCTTCCTTTCTTTGTCCTTTTTTTTCTGCCATAACCTTCTTTTTCTTTTATGCCATTATTTGATTAACCTGATTTTATCATAATCATTACAAAAAACAACAATAATAAAAAAATCTGTTTTTACTATTTGTACTATTTCTGACAGGATTTTGTCCAGTATATTCTTTTACCTTTGTACTGTTTTTTTGAATTTTAAGATGGTACATTTTCATTATTTTTTAGTCTATTATTTCCATTTTTGGTGCTTTTAACAAATCATTTTGATATATATATTCTTGTTTCCTTGTATTCTCTGAATCTGTCAAACGAATTATAATCATTCCATCTGCTTTTTTTTACCATTATACTAAGTTTTGTTAGTTTTGGCACATTTCAACCAATAAGCATTTCACCATCATAATTTTTTACCTCAAAAATAGACATATTAATGAGTTCATATTATGTACCATAACAGAGTTCCATAAAAGTATAATCTCTTGATAACATTTGTTAAATCCTTCTAATTCCATCTCCTCTCTCAATATTACTAACACTAAACCTTATCAACCAGTCCTGTGATTCACTTGTGCTATAATGAGTTGAGGAGGTAAAATATGAAAAGAAAAACTTCTTAAAATAGTTAGTTGTATATAACAGTCTGGAGAATATATAAACTGAAACATGATAATGTTAAAGCAAAGAGTAAAAAGAATAATGATACATTTAATCCCAAAACTTCAGAAAACCCAAAGAAATATGGAGAATATATTAATCTGAACAAAAATGAAATAAACATATGAAAAATGTATGGAATAAAGAAAATGATTAATATCAGAAATTCAAATGATATATAAATACTGAAGGAATATATATATATAAAGTTGTAGCCTTAGTCTGTTTGTTTGCTAAGGAACTTCACCTAAGGTTCTGGAGATAGAGCCCCTTAACCATATATATATTCTGAAACTACATTACCTAGAGTACTTGCATAAGTATATTTCATTTTGATTAAAGGAGATCCCCAGGTAGCACAAACCACCTACTGAAAGTTTTTCCCTTTGATTTAAATTCAATTTAAATTTGAACAAGGAAATGACTCCTATCAAAAATATAGAAGGAGAAAGCCAGAAGATGGAGGTCACATCTCCAAGATCAAAATGAGACAATATTGACGTCAAGTTGAACAAGAAATCACCAATCAGTTGGTAGTGTCTTGCAATACATATTTGTTGTAACAATTCAACTGTCATATCAATGTAGAAATCTGCTCATCAATTCATTTAATCAAGTATTGCATCAAATACATATCAAAGGGGTCAGATCAAGCTGTTTTTGCACAAACCCCCACTGACAATTTTTTCCTTTGATATAAATCAAATATAAATTTGAAAAAGGGAATAACTCCTATCCAAAATATAGAAGGAGAAAACCAGAAGATGGAGGTCATATCAGCAATATCATTGAGTAATATTGAAATGCATCATTTCTCTCCACAAATTACAACAATGATTTAAAATCAATCATCATTTTCTAACAAAAAAATATATGTGACACGCAGCAAGAAATTCAGCTAGTATTTTATAAAAAATAACCAAAAAGAATTTGTAGAATAATGAAAATATATAATTTCAGAATGAAATATAACTATTTAAAAATATTAATGGCCCTTATTATTTATTTTATAATTTATTTTATTACATTTTATTATCTTAATTATTATTTTTATTATACTAATATTTTTATTATTTTGAATTATTTTTATTATTTTATTTTATTACTTTTATTATCCTAATTATTATTTTTATTTTATTATATAATTTTTTTCTATTGCTTTTTATTATTTTAATTATTATTTTTTATTATTAATTATTGATTATTAAATTATATTTTATTATTCTAATTATTATTTTATCTTATTATTTATTATTTTATTACATTTTTATTATTTCTATTATTTTATCTATATATTATTTTATTTTTTATTTTATTATTATCATTTTATATTTTTTACTTATTATTTTATTACTTTTATTATCTTAATTATTATTTTTATTATTTTATTTATATATTATTTTATTATTATTATTTTATTATTTTATTTTATCATTTATTATTTTATTACTTTTTATTATCCTACTTATTAATTTTTCATTTTATTATATTTTATTATTTTATTTTATCCTTTATTATTTTATTACTTTTTATTACTTTTTATTATTACTATAAATTTCATTTTTTCACGTCATGATAAACCAGATATATATATATACAGTATCAGTAAATCAATTACTGATAAGTTACGAATTAGTGATCGGGTAGGCAAACTACAAACTAAAGAAGCCTATGTCTTATTAAAGGACCATAAACCCGAATTCAAAACTAAGCCATCCACTAGACTTATAAATCCTACAAGACCAGAAATCGGTAGGATTAGCAAGACCATCTTAGAAAGAATCAACCACTCCATTAAAAACACCCCTTGGACTGCTCCAGTGGATTAGCACAACTGAGGTCATCAACTGGTTTAACAACATATCATATAAGGGAAAATGTTCATTCATACAGTTCGATATTATCGAATATTATCCATCTATATCGAGAAGGATCTTTTCACCTTGGCACTGGACTTGGCCGGGGAATATTCTACTATTTCTGAGAGTGAAATTGATATCATCATGAAGTGTCGAAATTCTGTTCTAATTTACAAGGATGAACAGTGGACCAAAAAGTCTTCCAACAACAATTTTGACATTTCCATGGGTTCCTTGGATTCTGCTGAAGCTTCGGACTTGGTTGGATTATTTCTTTTATATAATTTAAGTGCCTTCGATTGTCTAGATTCAGATAGTGTAGGATTATATAGAGATGATGGATTATTAGTTGTTAAAAAAAACTCAACTAAAATTAAGGTAGACCGTATTAGGAAAATGATCTATAGGGTATTTAAGGATTTAGGTCTTAGGACAATAGTTACTACTAATGTTAGACAAGTAGATTTTCTAGATGTCACCCTAGATCTTGCTAACAATATTTTCCAACCATATGTGAAAGTTAATTCCAACCCATTATAATGTTCATCCTAATTCCAACCATCCCCTTCGGTTATCAAACATATACCCACTTCCATTGAATTTAGAATTAGCGCTAACTCTTATAATAAGGAGGTTTTCAATAAACATAGTGATTTTTATAATTCTGCACTAAAAAATAGTGGATACAAAATACCACTATTCAATATAAAAACCCCTGTTAATTGCAAAATATAATAAGAAAAGAAGATCTAGAAAGGTTATTTGGTTCACTCCCCTTTCAATGTATATGGTCAAAAACTAAGTTAGGGCGTATATTTATTAACCCTAATCAAAAAAATTTCCCCAACCCTGAAACTAACCCACTTAGTAAAATATTTAATCCTAATACCCTTAAATTAAGCTATAGTTGTGCTGATAACCTAGAGCAGATAATTAAAAACATAACAACATAGTCTTTAACAAGTATAGGAATTCAAAAGGCTTGACTAATCAACAGGTTACTAACTGCAATACTAACTATAAGAATACAAATAACAACTTATGTAATTGTAGAAATCCGAATAATTGTCCACTACAAAATAACTGTGGGATTACTTCTGTAGTCTATCTTGGTACTATTTCAACAATTGAAAATCCAAATATAAAGAAGTTTTACATTGGTTCTACTATGAAAACATTCAAGGAACGCTGGCAGGGCATATTAAATCCTTTAATCACAGTGAATATAGGTACATGACTTCATTATCCAAGTATTTTTGGAATCTAAAAGATAAGAACAAAACACCTATGATTAAATGGAGTTTGGTTACGAAAGCTCGTACTTGTAACTCCCTATATACCCCATGTTACCTATGCCTTAATGAAAAATTTGAAATTATTAGATTTAAAAACAAGGCTGATCTCTTAAATCAAAGATATGAACTGACAGTAAATTGTAAACACCCGTTATAAAATTTAACTTAGTGTAGGGGTCGTATACTTTAAATGATAATGATATGTCGCTGTATTTTTTAATAGATTAGTATTTTATTGCATAATGGTCATACTTACGATATAAGTGTGTATTGTTTACCTGCATAGTGTTATCAGTGTTGGTGTAAATATATATATATTTATTTATGTGTTGGTTAGAGTATTTGCACTGAGGAATGTGTAGGTTGGTGTATAAATGTATTTATGGTTTTTTTTTTTTTTTTTTTTTACATGTGAGGGTATGTGGGTATGTGTATGTATGTATATATATGTGAGTGTGTGTATATATATATATATATATATGGGGAAAGTAAGGTATATTATGAGAGAAAAGGTTAATAATTATTACTGTATATGTGTATGTGTGTGCCTATATATGTATGTGTGTATGGGTGTGTGTATATATGTATGTATTTGTGTGTGTATGTGTATATATGTATGTATGTATAAAGATATATATATATATATATATTTGTATATATATATGTATATATATATATATATATATATGTGTATGTGTGTATATGGTTGGATATATGTATATATGTATATATGCATATATATGTGTATGTGTGTATATGTATGTATGTGTGTGTGTGTGTATGTGTATGAGTATGTACAGGTATGTATATGATTAAATCACGACAGTATAATGGTTAGCCAGCATGGTTCACTAGATTGGGTGACTGAGTAATGAGTTCGTTCCTCACGGGATGCCTTGTTTTCAGCTTTGTGCCACAATATATTTGTATATATATGTATGTGTATGTGTATGTATGTGTGTATATATATATGTGTGTGTGCATATATATATATATGTATATATATCTGTATGTCCTATTTTATTGTGTATGTGTATTTATATTTAAGTATATTTCTGTTTGTATGAATGTGTTTATATATTTGTATGTTAGACTATATGTATATTGCTGTGTGTTGGTGTTTGAAGGTATATTTATGTATCTATATGTTAGTTCGTTTATATATGTATTTGGTTGAAAGTTGTTGTATTTTTATGTATGCATGTATATATGGGTGGTTGTTATTGCAGGTAGATATATTTATGGATATATATATATGTTTATTTGTAGATATGTATG